GTGTGAAACTCAAGGTGTTTTAGAGAGAGAAGAACTAGTGTGTGTGTGTGTGTATGTACTATGTGTATGGAGCATCATTCTATTCATTGAATACATCATAGATTCACTTGCTCTTCTTCTCCTTCTCTTCTATTTTGATCTGCCATCATCCAATTGATCGGGATTCCGCACCATCAATTGGATCTGATTGATACACAAGCAGATTTGGGACTTACAGTTTTTTACATGAAGACTGAATATCAATCGATCTACCAGGAAGAAGCTCTAAATCCTAAAACACAAAAAAAATTCAAAATTAAGAAACAGAGTACATGATGAAACACCAGAACCTAAAAACACAAAAAGATCTAGAAACCTCAAACACAAAATCTAGATTAATCACAAAAAACTGATGAACAAAAAAAATACCTTATAAAAATTAAAACCTTAGCCTAATGTTATTTGCAACACGTCACAAGAATGTAAAACATTATAGTAATTCAAATCCCTTCCGATTTGAAATAGCTTCATCCCTTAATAGTACATTACAAATTAATGTAAAACAAAAGAAACAAATAAATCAAGAACGGGTAAATCGCACCTCAGTCACGAATATGCTCGAACCCTTGTTTTGTCTTCTGTGGGTCTGTCATCTTTTAAAAATCCAAAATAGACTTGACTACTAACTTTCTGGGTTAGCCTTCCCGGTCCCTTGCTTCTGGAATTCGGAGAAGATACTAGAGATGTTGACCTGAATATAGCCAATATAACAATTATAAAGTTCAAAAACAAAAAAGAAACATAGTATTTGTTTATGTACTACATTTTAGATACATGGTATACACAATCAAGTACAAATTTGTATGTATTTCTTAGAGGCTAAAGAGCCAAAACCAACTACCACATATATCTTGAATAGTGTAACATACTAATTTCAAAGCAATTCCATCTGAAAGCCTACAGAGATACTGATCTACAAACTTAACATCATCTTCAATTGTCATGCATCTACCAAATTCAAGTAAATATAAAAAAATGCAACACTTGTGTTTGTTTGCATATTAAATAGAAAAGAACCTGAAAATAGCTTTCAATTACATCAGAGTCGGGTGGGGGGGGGGGGTGTTGTAGACGATCTAACTGAAGAAACGAACCACGTCCTTTACTTTCTTCCTCAAGCCCATAAACAATAGAAAAATCTGCAAGAATCACAAAAGAAAAAAATAAATTAATCTTCCAAACACCTCACACCAAAACCGATGGTTAAACCATCCAACTAAAGATAAGCGGTGGTGTCCGGGAAGATAAAAAAACGTAAATCATTGAATAAGGAAAAAAAACAGAAATGAATTCAAATCAACCCCAAATCTTAGGGTTTAGGAGAAAAATACAACCAAAAAGAGCAACATTTGAGAAAGAAAGGGGACATCTGTGAGGGAAAAATATGATTTCAAAACTGAAATTAAATTCCTCATTTTATTGTAATCAATCTTTAATTTCCGGAGAAAAGTAGATGAGAATGGAAGGTTTATTTTAAATTTGAATCGGTATCTAGTTTACCAAATCAAGAAGGCAGGATCGGAGGAAATGGAGGCATGATTTGGGGAGTAAACAGGTGAGCCGATAGAGTTGGGGGGTTAAAAGACGAAGGACATATTAGTTAGTTTACTTTAAAATTTCTTTAGCCAAAGAAGATGACAGGTAGTTTTTTATTAGAATAGGGGATAATAATTTTTAATTTGTGAAATAAGCTTTAAATTTGGATAGTGTTTTACTCGCTTTTTGTGTCTTATTAAATAATTAAGACGTGTTTTATATCTACAGAATTGTGAATCAATCTTATTTTAAACTAGAAAAGATTCTCCGGCGTTGCCGGGGTCGGAAGGTATTGCTTTGTAAAGTAAAGTAGCATGTTGGTTGCTTTATGTCCGTTAATGTGAGGTTAATTTGGTCTTTTCAGGTAGTAGAGACTGAATTTGTCACCATGGGTAAACCATATGGACCATTTATGTAATTTTGGCGGTGGTGGTGGTGGTGGTGATGACAGATGGTGGGTGAGTTTATGGTATTGATAAAAACCAAAAAGAGAATGTTAAATCTGGTAAACCATAGGGACCAATCGTATAATTTTGTCTAACAATAATAATAATAATGATGAGTGACCATTTCTGCCAAAAGACTAAATACTAATAATATGTAATAAAATGCGAGGGTTATGAAAAATTCAAACCAAAGTGAAAGGGTTGTTTGTGAACAAAAGCATAAAGATGAAGGGTCAATGTTGTAAGTTGGAGGACCAAAATTGACAAAAAAAGATGTCAAATCTTTCATAACTTTAATATATATATATAATAATAAAATTTTATAAGTACGGAAAATATATCAATAAAAAGCAATTTAATACCATAAAAGTTGAGGTGTTTAATTTAAAAGTTAAAACGCATGTAAATAAAACTGGGCTTGAAGTTGAGCTAACAGATTATAAAACCAACCAAAACCTTGGGCCTAACATAGCAAAGGATAAAGCATTACTCACTCCTTGGGCCTAACGTAACTTGCAAGGATGTCAGTTCAGTGATAGCCTTTCGCCATGTTTTTTTTTCTTCTTCTATTTTTTTTAAAACTTAATTTAATTTATAAAATGTACTAATTGATAGCATTTTTGTTTGTTCTTTTTAAAATTCACAAATAACAAATTACCATTTATTTAATAAACATTTTTATATTAAAATTATACATTATCATATTAAAAAAACTTTAAATTTTTTTAAATCTTTGATTAATAACTTATAATCTAAACATAAGTTTAAAGTAAATTCAAATAATAAAATTAAATCCAAATATTCATTAGATTTTCACATTTACATTTTTCTCTCATAATTTTGATCTAACAATTTTCATTCTTTATAATTTTAAAGCCAAAGGTATTTTATAATTTACGATTTGAGTCCCTTATTATATTTTAAAATTTCATTTTTGGTTCCTTAAAAAAATTCTTTTTATAGTTTTCGGTTTTATTAATTTCTTTAAGATCAACTTTCAAGTTTTATTTTCGTCCGTCTCCTTCAAACATAATTTTTCGGATCAAAACTTTATTTTATTAATTTTGTGGTTCACTTGATATGGTATAATCGTCACTGTTATATTTATAGACTGTTGACATTTTTAAATCAAATTTTATATACAAATTGCAAAAAAGTTACCCCAGACATTAAAATTACTTTTTCGTACGTTACATAATTTTTTTTATAGTATTCGTTTTTATTAGTTTTCTTAAGATATCTCACGCTTTATTTGCCTCCTCTATACATAATTGTTTGAACTGTAACTTTATTTTGATACTTTTATGGTCCACTGGATATGATATAATCGTCGTCGTGTTTTATGTGGATTGTTAACATTTATAAATCACGTTCTATATACGAAATACAAAGAAGTTACCGCACACATCAAAGTTACATTTAGGTCCCTTACAAAATTTATTTTTATAGTTTTTGTTTTTATTTCTTGCAAACAAGTTATCCGCCACAACATGTGGGGTGACTTAAATATTAGGTTATTATAAATTTGATTTAAAATAGAAATTTTGTTAACAATTAGATACATTTTTTTTGTTACAAGTTCCTTCAATTTTTTCTCACAGATTTACCTTTTTACAGACATTTAAATAATTTGTTTACATTTTTTTTAAAAACTTTTTAAAATATTTTACAATTACAGACAAACTTTTTATAACTTTTTTTCTAAATTTTAACTTATATATATTCTTCATGTAGCGTTAGATTAAAAAAACAAAAAAAAAAAAAACAAACGTAAAAGCAAAAAAAAACATCATTATTTCTATAATTAAAAGGTAAAAATATATAAAAGACCAAGTACCAACATATGAGTAATGTTTCAAAATCTTTTATAAAATATTTATATCGAAACCAAACTCAAAATCATAAGTATTTTTAATAATATTTAAACAAGTAAGTTAAACGTTAAAAACATAAAAAAAATTGTAAAATAGTTGGAAAAATTTAAAGTTGTATGAAAGTTTAAATTTTATAACGATTTATAAAACAACGGCTTTAAAAGTATATAAAAGAATGTACAAAAAGTTGTAAAAAAAAGACTTTGTGAAAAAAAGACTTTTTGAGTAAAACTATGTTTTTGACCAAATTTGTAAGTAAATTTAAAGTTTAGATTATATTTGTAAAACAATTTAAAACTTGCATGAAAAATATAAAATTGAAAGTTGATCTATAATATCTGGAATAACAAGTGGAAAAAAGATTGATGTTTCACTTAAAAATTATCAATATGTTTCAACTCTTTTTTAAAGTCATTTTTGCCTCAATCAGAATCTACAAGTATTCTAATGAGAGACTCACGGTCTTACAACCTAACATTCTCGCGTATTTAGTATTCTTTCTTATTGTATTATCAATACCAAACATCTTTAACTTGTGGAAATTTACCTTCAAATCGATTGACACATGTAAACATTGAATGATACATACAATGTTTTTAATGTTATTTTTTTATCACCCACCTATAAAATTTGCATCGTCGACATAGAATAGATGTGATATGACTATCGCACAATTAGGAATTTTGATGCTTTCAAAAAATTGATTTGTTGCAAGTTGTTTTCATTGCCACGTTTAACCCCCTTAATGACTATAATTGATAAAAAAAATCTTTATATTAAGAGGTTCAAATAAACTATTTAGAGATCATATATGAATCAACTGAAATTCACTCGGCTTGGTAAGACTCTAAACGAACCAGAAGCTTTTGAACTATTTCTGAACAATTAAACAACATTACTTATCTTAACCATTAAAAATGTGGAACCATTTGATTTGCGATTTACCAAATAAGCCTTAATGTGCCACTGTTTTGTTATCCATGAATCACTTATTCTTTCTTTTATTAACACCACAACACCCTCAACCCCTCCCCACACACACACACACATACATAAAAAATTAACTTAAATATTAAATATTATCAAATTAAATGTTTCACAATAATCAATAGGATAAATTTGAAGCTACCAAAAGAGAAACAATTTTGAAAAACAATGGCAGATTTATAGCGTTCCCATCGGATTTTGTTGGCACCGTCTTAGATCCATTTCCTGCAGAATCCATACATATATCTATTATTTCATTAAATAATTATCATTAGTTGTGAGATCCGTGTACTACACGAGTTTTTAAAAAAAAATAAAAAAAATAAATATGAAAGTTTAAATATTTAGGAGTTTGAATTAATAACGAAAATGAGAAAAAAATATTGAATTGTTGAAATTAAAGTGTTCATTTCTCTTTTAAACTTAAACAAAAGAAATAATTAAGATTTAATTTAAGAAATTTGAAATTAGAAGGAAAGTTGCGTTAATGAAATTATAATCCATTTATTATTAGATTTATTACATTTAAATACAATTTAGAATTTAATAAAATGAGGAAAAAATATAAAATGACATGTGGAAAAAAATTGTTTAAAACAACTACAAAATAACATCTGAATGAGAGTATAACATATGACAAAAATAATTTTATTTATTAGAGTAAATGTGTAAAATATTCCAACACTATTTGAATTACTTATTTGCAACTATTTATCCATACATTATTTGAATAACTTGTTTACAACTAATTATCTAGTTATAATTATTCGTATCACATAATTATTTTCAAAACATAAATCCATAATACATATCTGAAACAGTAAAAACTTGAAATGAGACCCGGAGTAAACCATTGGTCATGATTTATATATACAAATTGATACAATTCGATATATTTAGACACTAGTGCTTTTATCTTTTAAATATAAATTAATAATTATTAAAATCCAAGTGCTTTTATCTTTTAAATATAAATTAATAATTTATATAAATAAACAACTAAAATAATTGGATTTAATTTAGAAATTTATAAATGATAAGGAAAGTTGCATTAATGAATTGAATATACATTTATTATTATATGCAATTTAATAAAATAGAAAAAACAATAAAATGACACATGGATATAATTTAATCTAAATTTACAACAAAATGACATGTGACATAATACATAAGAGGATGACAAGTGGCAAAATTATTTTCATTTATTAGGGAGGATGAAATGAAATTAAAATGAGGTCAAGTTATCTTTGTTAACACGAGTTTAAGTTTATGGATCTCGTATTAAAGTCATGGGAGAATTTCATATATACCCTTCTTAATCATTAAAATATCATATTTATCCGGGCTAATTTCTAAATATCATATATACCCTTTATAAACTTCAAAATATCATATTTGCCCAAATTCTAGTTTTTTAATATTTTTTAATATTCTATAATCATTTTAAATTCGTATTTTGATAAGTTGACTATTATACCCCTCTTGTAAATATTCCCTCTTATAAATCCTAGATTAAAGTACTTAAAATTGATTTCTTAAACCCTCGTTGTTGGTCTCCCCTAATCCCTATCGTCTCTTTTCTTGCACCTGGTTACAATAGTGTTACAAGATGTTATATTTGACGATGATAGTAGACATAATCACGTGGAGGTATAAAAAAGAAAAGGACAAAGTGTGGGAATGTAAGAGAAATTGTTCAGTCAATGAAGGAGCATGTGTTTATGTCATAGATGCTGTCAAATGCATGGAGATAATTGCAAAAAGAGATTTTGTGGGTTCATGTATAACTGTAAATAATACTGATTAATGGCTTTAATATTTGTTGTTGACATCACCTAATATTGAAGGTTTAAATTAATCTTGTCAGATGCTTTAACTTATAACAAAGAGTGGCAATATATGATGTTTAAATGGATACATAAGAAATGTTGATAACCCTTTAGTTAGTGATAATTTGCTATGATATTTTGAAAGGGAAGAAAAAAAAATCTAAACATGGAGCGTGTTTGTTTTCAATGGCGAACAATTTGAGGAAAAAGGTAGACGATAGGGATGAGAGGAGACCTGCAACGGCCAATAAGGGTTAAGGAAATAGATTTGAGATATATTAAACTTATATTAATAAAGGTATAATAGTCAATCGATAAAAATAAGGATTTAAAACTATTATAAAATATTAAAAAATGTTAAAAATAAATATTTGGGTAAATATGATATTTTGATAGTTTATAAAGGGTATATACGAAATTTAAAATTTAACTCGGATAAATATGATATTTTTATGTTTAAGAATGGTATATATGAAATTTAAAGTCGTTTACTCCGTATTTATTAAGATTTGTTTAGTCAATATTCAATTCAAAGTTAAAATGAGGAGATCAGATTTGGTATTTGTGACAATCAATAATCCAACCGTTATAGTATATGTGTGGGTATGATGAATTTTAAAATTTAAGGTACGGTAATCTTGACGAATGACACTTTAGGTTTTCTACACATATATTGCATGCCATTAGTCTTAGGAGAGCCAAAATTTTAGTACATAATTGTTATTTATATTATTAATGTCCACAAAGTAGATAGGGATAACGAATTAGAGGTGACAACAATTTAAGACAATTTATGGTATAAGATTTAAATCCATTTTAGCTTCAACATATTGATAAGCCCGAATTCAAATTTATTTTAGCTTCAACTGTATATGGTGATGAAAATTTTCAGATGGTTTGAACGTGGTTCAACATGGTTTTTATTTGGATACGACTAGTCAAAATGAAATTCTTCAAGTTAGAAATTTAACTGCTAGTATATTATGGGAAATATATACACAATGTCACATAGAGACACTGGTGATCTCCATTTAATTAAAGTAGTAAAATTTATCTTGTTGAAAATGTTTATTTTTGAGGTGAATCATATGTTGAATTTTATGTTAATCCTCATATTAAATTTTTGTTTCATTTTATGTTCAAATATTGTATTATTTGAAATAACAAAAAATAGAAAATAAAAAAACGATATAAAATAGTAAAATGCACATCCTTATGGATTGATTTGCTTTAAGTTTTTTTCCTTGCAAGTTTTGGCATTAACTCTTTTTTCTCGTTCCGATCATCTCTATAGTTTGATTTTGTTTTAGTTTTCATCTCAAATGACTATATTTTCTTTATCTATTTTTACTTTTTTATTAGTTTTTAATAACTAATAATTTTAAAAAATAAATCGCCTGACCACCATTCCATCGAACCCACCTTTCTTAAATTGTTGTCTTTCTCTCTTCTCTCTCGTATTAATTAGTTGAAAAACCCTATAATGATGGACTACCTTCCTTGCCCACCATGACAGGTTCTCCAACAGAAACCATTAGATCTACATGCACACGCAAACAAACACACACACATATATATATATATATATATATATATATATATATATATATATATATGTGTGTGTGTGTGTGTGTGTGTGTCTCATGTAGCCACATTACCGAAAGTCCTGCCACATAAACGTTGACCTGAAGGTTGCTAGAGAATCGATGGTCGAAGAATCCACCTTTTTAGTACGTGTCACTAGAGCCAATAACCTTCTAAATATATGGTATAGGTTTAGAGGAAACTGTTAATTGTAATCCCTTGTTGTAAATCTCGTCCTTTCCCGCTCCCTACACGATCATCCTCCAACGACGCCTCTCCTCCACCATACATGGACGAGGTCGATCTTTCTTCTCCTCTACAACCTCTCATAAACAACAACAAAATCGCGGCTTTGAACTTCCCCAATTTTGTGAATCTAATGATTTTACTCATTTCCTTTCTGGAAAGATCCTCCTCCACATCCTCTCCTAGCTTCAGAAAATTTTACAAAAGGAACCGGGATCATTGGGTCTCAAAATCGTACTTGAATCTCCAAGGCAGTTTGGTAAGACCAATTTTTTTTTTTATTGAAATTTTCTTATTGTTCTTTCAAATTTCTAACATTAGTCATATTAATATTTTTCATTGAGCTATGTTTTCTTATGTAAGTTGTATAAATTTGGACTTTTTGATTAGTCATGAATTCGAGTCTCTTCACATAACTCCTCATATTTTTTCTAATATGGTTATTGTTTATTACATGTTGATTAGGTTGATTTTGGTTTGAAATTTGGCTAGCATGTCCGAAATCTACAGAGACTTTTGATAATAAATTGGTTTTGTAAAAATAAAAAACATCGGCATAAGATGGTTTTTCGGAGAAGATGACCGACGCCAAAGTAATTAAGGGATAGGAGATGAACGAACAAGGGGAAAGGAGAGTGGGTACACAGGAGGTAGGATAACTGGGACTTAATAAAGGAAATGGTTATCATTGATTTTATGAAACAAACTATTCAAGTTGTATTCAAGTTCCCAACAAATCCAATCTATTATATAAAAAAGGAAAAAATAAGGGACTTAAGATTTATGTGTTTTAATAATATATTACAAGTTACTACGTCTTTTAAATATTTATACTTTTAGCCCATGTTTTAAACATTTTTTCAACCTAGAAATGTTGAAAAACTACAAGTAAAAAGTTTAAAAAGTTTGAAACGTTATAAAAACGTAAATCAAAAGATTTAAAAATATAAGTTGTAAAAATCTTTTGCAACTTTTTAATCCCTTTCTTAAAACTTTTAAAAGGAAAAAAAATCATTTTTAAATATTTTTACATACGTTTTAAACTTTTTAAACAGTATTATTATATTTTTCAACCTTTGTATGTTGCAAAAACAATTTTACAATGACTTAAAAGTGTTTAAAAAAAGGTTGTCAAATTTTTTAAAAATATTTGTCAAAAAGTTCAAATATGTTGTAAAAAGTATTGTGAAAAAAGATTATGAGAAAAGTTCAAAAAGTTGTGTAGAAAAGTTTAAAATTTCATGAAAAAAGATTTATATAGATTGTAAAAAAGTTGTACAAAATAAATTAATTTTGAAACAAATTTGTAAAATGGAAAAAAATCCAGACATAAATTATAACAAAGCTTAAAACTTAGGACAAAAGTTTAAACATATAAATGACCCTTTTAACTTGTAATAGCATGTCAAAACACATAAATCCTAATTTTGTTACATTTTTACACAATAAAGTGAACTTGTTGGCAACTTGAAAACAATTTGAATAGTTTATTTAATAAAACCAATAACTAATGAAATAAGTTTTTATTTTATTTATTTATTTTTTATTTTATATATTTTTTTTGAAACAGAAAATATAACCTACTACTAAACTACTCCTTAAATCTATCTATGTCTACGACAAAACTTGAAATAAATAAACAAATAATAAGTAAACAGATAATAAAAAATACAACACATATAATAAAGATAATATAGTTATTTTAAGTCGGTTTGGAACAAAATATAAGAAAAAATAACTATAATAATAGTCTGAATTGAAAAATAGAGGAGAGATCTAAATCATTTAATGCCTAGATTATCTCAAACTACAACAACTAATCATATAACTTATTATTTTAAATGTAAAATAAAAACTCAATCAATTTTAGTCAAACAAGCTTTTAAAAAATGCTTTCAGCTGAAAATAAAAACTCTAATATATTTTTTATAGTTCTTTTTGAAAAAACATATATTAATTTTTAACAACAAAACTGGCCCTACGGATTCAAAATATTGATGCCAACATGAACTAATGAAACCAAGAGCCTTTTTAGAACACGAGCTTAATCTTTATATTTTGTTATTTATAATTTCGATCTATAATAGTTTTCGGATAAATTATCTTCTTCCTTTTTTTTTAATTTAATTATTTATTTGTTTATTATTATCGAGTGTGATTGTACAATTGTTATCTATTCAAGTCTAGATGGCTAAGTTGGTTATTTTCCGTAATCTATATATAATACTTACTTTACAAAGACATTATATATACTATATATCTATGTTTAGTATTTCATTAATATAGTATTTAATGGAAGGTAAAAAAGACACGGTCACTAAATAGTCAATTTCACCTAAAGGTGTAGGTGATGTAAACTTTTGGCATGAAGCATTTACCATGCCGGCGGACACCGAGCACCATGCACTAGGATGAAAGTGGCTCTAAAACCGGATCGGTTTACCGGACCAAAAAAACCAGGAACCAAAAATAGACGGATTATAAGAATGGAGAACCAAACCGGCACACGGTAACTAGTTCTGGTCCTGTTTCGGCTATCAAACCTGGTATAGTGGGTATAGAACCGAAAATTGATAATTGGAACCGGATTTGTGTATTAGACCCGAAAATAACAGGAAACCTGGAAATGGAACCGGAAACCCGAAATTTTGGAATAAAAGAAAATATATATATATATATATGTTGTGACCCTGAATACTTGTTAATAACAAGAAAAAAGACGACTGATCGACAAGTTACAAAATCTTCACTAACAGGGTTACTACATCTCGTGCAAAAGAACGGTCTATCAAAAAAAATGTTATAAAAAAAAGATTTGAAATATCATTTTTGGAGGGTTGTAAGTAACACAAAACATATTCAAATAAGGTGTTTCTAGAGTCTATAACTATTGTTAAACAGTAAACTATGATTTTTAAAAAAATCAACCACAATGTACTTATAACAAAGTAGATATGACAAATTAAAGCTAACTAAAAATTCAACAACAATGATTCACGAAACCCAAATGCCAACGCCAAACTATCAAAATCAGTTTCAATCACATCATTATCAACCCCAATAATTCTAATCCTTACAATATCATTTCCAATAATTACAAACCCAACAAACCTATAACCAATTTTCAGGTTCTCAAGACTACAACCAAATTCGCTTTAAATTCCCGACACTTCGCATTTTTGTGAGCCTGTAAACGAAAATCTAGCGACAAAACCCAACCATCATCTCAAAATCTAAATGATGAGTCTGAAGAGGAAATCGCCACCAACAATAGAAAACGACACAATCGACGAGAAATTTTACCCCAAAGTTGAAACGACGACCATGAATCGAAACATAAGAATTAGGGTTAGCCAAAACATTTATCAACACTTCGGTGGACTATGAAAAAGCCAATCAGCAACGATCTGATGCATTTTGGGAGTCGGTGGTGGAGGATTTCAAGCTGCAACTATTGTAGTGATCTTAATATGCACCAACTCAACTCCAAATGGAAGGATTTGTAGACAAAAGTTAACAAGTTCAATTACATCTACAACAACAAATGCAACATGCGTGCAAGCGGGAGGTCAAACGCCGATTTGTTAAAGACGACACATAGTGAATACCATAAACTCTTTGCCAAAGTTCTACATGTTGACTTTATAGGTGACAACCCACAACATCCTTCAGCAAAAAAGAGCAAAACATTTGACTCCAACATATACACAAGTGGATCATATGCCCATTTTCCAAGTCAAATGAACGAGGGATGTGAAGATGTTACTAGTCAAGAGTTTCAAGAAGAAGTACAAATACCGACACAACCACCACGCTGACGAAAGAGCAAGCACTAACATACAAATCCTTACAACCAGTTAATATCAGAAGCCTCATGGATGAAGTCAGTCAGGTGACATTTTGACAAAAATAACCAAAAAAGTACAGGAGAACAAAAAGAGATATCAAAGAGATAAACTACACATTTTAGAAGATGAGTGAGAAAAGAAAGTTGCAGTCTTGGAGGAAGAGTTACGAATGATGAAAGAGAAACATTTTGATAAATATTTTCAGTTTGGGATAATGACTTAAAAGGGTAACATATTATTCGATTTGTACATATTTGGTCACTGAGTTTTTTTTTCGTCCACATTTACCCCTTAAACTTGTTAAACTGTACACATTCAGTCCTTATGACCTGTTACTCTAGGTTAGCCGGGAAAAATGACTTCATAGGGTAATATATTTTTCATTTTGTACACATTTAGTCCTTAATATTTTTGTACATATTTAGTCCTTAACATTTTTTTTGTTTCAAAATAAGTTCTTTTTTGTACTCATTCAGTACTTATGAATGATTTCTTTAGGTTTTTTTCACGACATCTTACGTGAGACAATCATTGATGAGGTGCTTGGGGTTGTTGATGCTTATGTCCAATGCGATCTCGACTGCTTGGTTGTGTAAGTCTTGTGGTTTGGCTTAGGTCTTGTATTTTGAACATCGTAACTTCTTCATACGATATCAGATTTTAAGGATCTTTATCAATGTGTTCATTTTTTGAGTCTACTACAACTTTCATTAAGATTACTCCCGTTAAAATGTAATATATTTTTACTAACGATTTTATAAAAAAAAATATACATACATGCATTCATAAAAAACGTATGGACAGGGGAAGAAGCAGTAATACATAGTAGGTGTTGCCGAGATGAAATAGGTGTTGCCGATACATGGAAAATAGATATAAACGTAAAAAAAAAAAAAAAAAACCGAAAATTTTTCCACAACGAACAGAATACTAAATCCGCCACCGCGTATGAATATAAAAATCGTAAGTAAAAATATATTATTTTTAAATGGGAGTAATCTAAATGAAAGTTGTATTAGATTAAAATATGAACGCATGGATATAATGATCGTTAAAATTCGAGATCATATGAAGAAGTTATGACGTTCATAACACATGACCTAAGCAACCAAGTAGTCGAGATCGCGATGGATATAAGCATCAAAAGCCTCATACACCTTATTAATGAATGTCCCACGTAAGATTTCGTGAGAAAAAACTAAAAAATCACTCATAAGTACTGAATGAGTAAAAAAAATGACTTATTTTGCAAAAAAAAAAAAAAGACTAAATGTGTACAAAAATATTAAGGACTAAATGTGTACAAAGTGAGAAATATATTACCCTATTAAGTCATTTTTACCGGGTAACCTGAAGTAGCCGGTCATAAGGACTGAATATATACAGTTTAACAAGTTGAAGGGGTAAATGTGGACGAAAAAGAAACCCAGTGACCAAATGTGTACAAATCAAAAAATATATTACCCTTTAAATCATTATCCCAGCTTTCAGTTTTTCCTAAAGTCACATGATATTTAACTGGAGTGCGACAAAATCCTCACTCACAAATAGGAAATTGCACAAACTCATATATGAGAGGCTTAAAAATATTTTCTAGGTTTTAATTATCGTATTTAGGATTTTAATTTTTGCATTTAGGATTTTAATTCTTGTATTATGGATGTTAATTTTTGTTTATATTTGTATGTTTTTTAATGATTTTTTTAAAATAAATTTATTTTTATTTATTTATTTTATAGTTTATTATATGTTTTTAAATATATTTTAATAAAAATTGAGAAAGTTGGGAGAGTCCAGAAAAATGAGTTACTTGTGTAGTGATTTGGGAATGATAGAAAAAAAAAGATGAGAATGAAAAAAAAAAATTAATGTGACACTTATGTAGCAAAATGGTTGAAAGAAAATGATCTCTACTCGACGGCTTGTATAAATTTAAACATAAATTCCAATCACCTAAAATGTTGAAGCCACACAATCAAACTGGAAACAATGTTGAATATATCTATTTATATCTATATAGGTCATGTGAATAAAATATGTTGGATTGTTAGAACTTTTAAGAAAAATTCAAATTAAAGTAAAAGACTTCGTTTAAGAGTACGGATTTAAAGTTTTTATTTCAAACAAAAAGTTAATTCCAAAACCATTCCTATTTTTAGTTTTTAATTTTTATGCCTTATGTCATTTTATACTTTTCAAACTTACAACTATTTTTTCAAATATTTCAAAAAAGTTAATTCCAAAACCATTTCAAATAGTTTTAGAGAAGTTTTAGCTTTTAATTTTTATGTTTTACCTCATTTTACACTTTTCAAAAACTTATAATTTTATTTTTTTAATATTTCTATATAAATAAAAACTAAAACTTTCGGTTTTTAGCTTGCAGTTTATTTTCCCAAACATGCTTAAAACATTACTTGTGGTCCATTACGAACACATTCAAATAATCAATATTTGGAAAAATATTTTAATAGTGCAATGCGATTTTTGTAGGAACGGCTAACACACATCTATGGAAGCCCCTCCAACTAGGGGTGTTGATCGGGTAAAATTTTTGGGTTTCGGGTAGAACGGGTCGGGTAGTTCGGGTATTTCCTTAAAATAATAATACACGATACCCGACCTATATTGTAATTCGGGTTCTCGGGTTTCGGGTATTCGGGTTTTAGGTCGGGTCGGGTATTTTCGGGTATATCCGAAAATTTCTTAAGTGTCACTTATTGATTTTTTTAATTCTTTTTTGCATTTCGGTTGCTTTAATAAAAAATTTGGTAACAAAATATTCCATACAATTAACAAGTACAGATACGATAACAATACAAGTCATTATAATATGTTATGTGATTTTTGCATTCCATTTCAAATTTTGATAAAAAAACAGTTTATAGAGTACATGATCAATGTTTGATCAAATTTGGATTAACCAAACATGTTACATGATTTAATGCAAAAGATGAGCACATAAAAGTTATAAATAAAAAAATTTAGCATGTTATCGAAATTGCAGGAACCAATTATATAGCTATATTTCAATTCACAAAGAAGAAATGACAAAAAAGAAATATATGCATAGTTGAAAAAAAAGAAAAACATCCGTAGTGCACAAAGAAAATGAAGGAGAATCTTACATCTTATTTATTTTCATTATGTTTGTTGTAACATTCTCTTCAAAACTTCATTTCATTTTCAACAATTTCTTTTATATTTATTATATACCGTTCAAATAACGAAACCATATAACATTTGGTTCAAACTATAAGGAACAATGATTATGTAAAATAATGAGACAACTTTAATAGTTATTATAACTAGTGTATTAATTAGTTTTTTTTTTTTTTCTAAATCGGGTATTCGGGTATACCCGAATTTTTTTAAACCTACCCAATACCCGACCTATTTAAATATCGGGTTACCCGATTACCCGAATTTTCAAACCCAAAACCGATTTACCTGGCCCGATCTACCCGAATTCAAAACGGGTCGGGCCGGGTAATCGGGTATTGGGTATTTTCAACAGGCCTACCTCCAACCAATCGTATGCCCAACATATGGACTCTAAATCATAATGTTCTTTGAGCAATGTGATGATGTTAAGCTTGAACTTTTAATTTCACTTACATGGGTTCTCACTTTGTTACCCATAAGTCCAAATATAAAGAAACTAAAATGTAAAAAAATAACATACCATCACAACGGCTAACCGGAGGTGTATGGACATCACAAGCTTTAGGTAGTCCCAAAGCGAGAGTTTCATTAATATTTAAACTTGCGGATGAGTGACCACCACTGACCAATACACAAAGACATCGTGGCTCTGACCTGACCACATTGGCTAGTTGCGAGCAACAAGGATGTGATGGGCTCGATGAGTTCCCACTCACATAGTTGAGGCATGGGCTCAAGCTCACTATTGCACTTCTGCACTTCGATGACTTAACCGTGGCTCCATCACATACCATGAACATAACCATAATCACAACAAGACCAACCACATTAGCTCTATTTGAAGCCATTTTTGGCGATTTCAGGATGTTAGTGTGATGGAATGTTTTATCTTTATATTTTGATGGAATGTCAAAATGATGATGTATTTATAGGCATTTTGGTGGCCTAATTTCTCCTAATGGGGGAGTTTGTTTTTAGATGTCTTTTATGGAATATGACAACCTTTTTTTGTATTACTGTTACGTTTTAAACCTTGTTTTCATTTTCCTTTAAAACTATATATATTTTTTACCTTAGGAAAAGCTACTATATTTTTTACTCCATGAAAAGACCGCAAGATCTTTTGCTTGAACCATAACATTGAAAAAAATTCCAAAGTAACTGGTCCATTTTCATTCAAATTAATCATTTTGATGTTAAATTTATTAGCAGATTTATACATAAGTAGATTTGGTATTGGGTTGTATTGTATAACGTTATAAACCATTTATGTATTGCTACAACAAACCCCGGTTTATGTGGTTCATGTAATGAACACTAGTTTTTTGGTTTGTTTTCCAAGTATAAGATTATAAAAATGATTATGTTAAATTAATAGTTTTTTGGTTTGTTTAAATTTAGAAAACCGTGTACTTAGGGTAATTTAGTAAAAACAGAATATAACAATCATCATTAAGTGTGACAATAGAAAAGTACTTATTATTTTATGGAATCATCTCTTACCGTAACCGACCAAGTTTATAAAATGTCTTTTTTGATTCATTAAAGAAAACAAATACTACAATCACACAATCTCTTCTCATAAAAATAACAAATTGCTCGCTACTAATACACACAATCACCTACCAAGATAAAGAAGAAATAAAACTTTTTTAGCACTTGGAAGAACAAAGAATGTAAAATTAATTTAGAAACGTGAAGCTGAAGAAGCCCATGTCACCACAAACAGAACAAACACCAAGAGATGAACTGGTGCTCGTGATTCACTTCCATTTGGTGTCAATCCATCTGTCTTTGACCCTGATCCTACAGCCATCAATTCATTTGCTAATTAGCATAGAGAGATACACTTTAATCACAAATGATCAGTTAATTTAGATGATATTTTATTAATAGTTGTTCAAAAAAATATTGATAAAGGGTAAAAAAGTAAATACCCGATGGAGAATCCGACTCGGTCGGGCTTTCTGGCAATATATCTGGTTCGTTTGTAGATCCTTCAGGGGAAGCAGCCGGGCTAGGTGTAGAAGTTGTACCCGGCCCGTTTGCAGCTAGATAAACAAAACAAACAACCAAACCAAAATTTGTTAGAATTTTGAAAAACCCAATAAACAATATACCAACAAAAAAAGAATTAAAAACATGCATGGACATTTCATTTTGAAGTGCTAAATTTCCAAGTGATCAAAATTACAAAAGTATTACCGTTACACTGGCTGACCGGTGGAGTCTGGACATTACATGCACCGGGAAGCGTTAGAGCCAGTGTTCGGTTGATACTGATACCGAGTGTGATCCCGTTCCCATTTAGCACTGCGCAAAGGCATTGCGGTTGAGCTTGAACGAGGTTTCCGAGTTGGGAGCAACACGAAGACGATGGGGTGGATGTATTTCCGGTAATGAAGTTAAGACATGGTGACATACCCATGAGGGCATTGGTGCACCCTGATTGAGCCATGGTTCCACCGCAGATTGAGACAATAAGGACCATGGCTAGAGTCACACTAACCACTTTACAAGCCATTTTGTTTAACTTTCTTTTCTTGATTTCTGATAAAGAGAAAGTATTTGTTGGGATTTCTTGGTGCAGAAAAGTTAGAAATCTTTAGGATTATAAATAGTGTGTCATATATGAAAAAGGACAAGCTTTAATTTATTGGCATTTATAGTTGACCAACTATGGAAATAATTATCCTTTTTAATTAGATACTATATCTAAATAGTAAATTAAATTGGGTTTTATTTTATACATGAAATGTTAAACAATGTCCTTTTTAATTAGATACTACTAAAATTGTTTTATTAAAAACGTGAGTTGAGTTAAAAGTCATTTAATTTACGCTCAAGTGTTCATTGTTTTATTCAATAAAATTAGACTAATTATTTTTAATAGTAATTGACGCAATTGTATCTTACATAATAACTTTTATAAAAAAAAAATGGGGAGAAAGATTTAAGAGATCAATCTAGCATGTATAATGTATTGTCCTGTTATAAAGTTTCCTGTTATAAAGTTTATTCGGTTTAACAAACAACCAACCCGATCAATTTTCCATATGTGTAGATTACTATGCGGTGTAGAAGTTTGAAATCAATTAAATGAAACACCCGAAATAATCTTACCTTATACATGAATATAGAGTTACTTAAGCCCAGTATCTTCTTATTTGATTATAAATGTATTTCTTAATCCCTTAAAAATTTTATTATTTTATTTATTTATTTATTTATTATTATTATTATTATTTTTTTTTTTTGTGAAAGTTGTTTCTTAACTAAAAAATGACACAATTCGTTATTTTACTTATGGTACTTTGACAAGCAATATGCTCGAAGTTTAACCTAATCTAACTCCAATTCGTTAGCTTAGGTTGGTCACAAACCAACCAATATTCACCTAGCAAAGCCAAAGTCGTTGAACCCCTTATAAATAATCACCAAAAACGGACAACCAAAAAAATTCTTAATATATATTTGGTAACCTAACCTAAAAATTTCCAAAAACACCCTTCATAATCATTGTCATTCTCATGGACAATTGCTAAATGGGCTGTGCACCTCTACACAAAAAGGCAAAAACCCCACCTTTTCAGTTATAAAAAACAATTGCTTATGTGGTTAAACCGGCTCGCCAAATTGTGAATTAACGGGCCCTTTTCCAACAAATGATGAAATTCATATTAAAAAAAAAAATGAGACTTACAAGTGTTTTTGTTTCTGGTGGGGAAGTATGAACCTAAATCTAGGGTTTCTTCATGTTCTTCGATGAACCTTCAAACTAATGTTCAAACATTTATGTCCTTTTATGTAATTTTTTTTAATACATGCACACTTCTTACAAGGCCAAATATGCATATTTTACATATTACCAATTTGATAAGAACTAAAATTCTACCCAATATTTTAAAAACCGGTTTAAACCAGGAACCAAAGACGAGAGCGGTTCAACAATGACCGATTTTATGTCAATTTCTAGACCGAATCAAACCAGACAATTTCTTGAAAAAACCGCGTCGAACCGGTATGATAGAACTGATAAAAACTTATTTGAACCACGTTAAAAACAACTAATTTTCAAAACAAATTGAACAACTCGATCGATCAGGTTATCTGCAATGTATACAACTTGAAGGCCGACGGAGCACACCATTACCAACGGTCGAACCGGTTAAACCAGAAACCGACTACTAAACTGATTCAACAAAAAAACCGATTTTTAAAACTTTGATTCTACCATTTACAATGATATTTAAAAGAGATATACGTTAGGATATAATTTCATACCTCCTCTAATCGTCCACATGCACCTATTAAACAACCGACATTTGGGGATAGGAGATTTTTGCATTTCGAGATCTCATTAGTATTTTTAAAGCAATGCAGGCTTCTGAACTACATTTACTTGTTTTAAAACATCCAATTCTGTATTCAATTTCAATAGGATGCAATACTTCTCAATAGGTTTGAACAAAGTTAAACAGTTCATCTATGGTCATTTTTATTGATTTAAAAAAAACGCCTACCTCTATATTTCAAACTTGATTTTTTTCGTAAATATTTGTAGTTTCTCAATAGCCTGGCAACGCCACCCTTTGTTAAAGATAAATTTCAGCATATAATATAGGTTCTTAGTATTTGTATTTTACCCAAAATAATCTCTATATTATGCCTTCTTTTAGACACAGCGTACGCATTTATTGAATTCTATGGATATTTTAGTAACTTCACATATCGACCAGGTTAAAATAAGTCCATATTATGTCTCACTTTGATAAAGAAAATATATATCATTGACTAACATGGCCAATAACATGTATTATGTCTAACTTTGATAAAGAAAATATATATCATTGACTAACATTGACTAACATGGCCAATAACATTTACAAGCGCTACCATTTCCAGGAAGTAATATTTCATAAAAACACTCTGCTGCGATAAGTGAGCCATGTCTATACCTACAAGCATCCCAACAGTCATCGGATACATCTTCCCCATGACACCATTTCGGCTTAAATGCTAGCAACTCAGTGCATGGTTTATCACCCAATGTTGGTGTCATCATTTCAACTGCAAAAAGAGTACATATTATCAATAGTTAATAGTTAATATGTCATATATTATTAAAATAATAATGTTATTCATTTGAATAAGTTTGACACACGTAACCTTTTATTTTAGCCAAGATTTTAACTTTACCATTTGACCCGATATAATAAAAATAGAAAGGTCAAAGCGACTCATCTACCCATAAATTTATAAAATCTGATCCATCTACTATATATTTGTTATATTTTTAACTTTTTCTGTATTCTTGAGTTGGAAAGAAAATGAAAAATAAAACTGAACAATTAAACAATTATACACCTATAATGTAAAATAAATTAGTTTTGATGAAGGGCTGTTTAGTAAACAAACAAAATCATTAAAAGTATACTGTCGTTTTTCTTTTGAAGCTTCCCACGTTTGAGGAAAATTTCAAGAAAAAATTGCCGAAACTTTTCCCATTCATTAAAAATAAAAAATCAATGAGAAAAAGTTCTGGAGATTACAACTTAAGAGAATACCTGATAAGACGAGGGCAACAAGAAGCAACACATTACACACCACCATTGCTGTGAATCGTGCCATACGTACTCTCGTGGAATAACAAACAAACAAATCAATTGAAATAATTAATTCAAATGAATATTGAAACTCTCTACGAATATGTATAATGGAAAATTAAGTTTGGCATGGCAATCCTTAATGATCTTAACACTATTATATAAAATTTACATATAAGACATTTTCACTTTCCATACATAAATTATCCAAAAATAACACAATCAAATCAATTTTAGAATTTTTAATTAATGAAATCAAATCATTTAAAATATTGATGATATCAACCAAAATACTTGTTACGAATCTAAGGGATATATCTTCAATCTGTATAACTGAAAATTGATAATTTGGGTTATACTTCTACTAAAAATTTTAGTTAATATAAGGTTGATTTTTATGTTATGAGGTCCTTTGAATCGACACAACTACTTATTTTTATAAACACTAGGTGTGAGACCCGTATGTTATATGGGTTTGATAAAACAAAAAATTAAATATAAAAGTTTAACAAAAATTTATTTAAATTTGAAATTTTAGAAGTGAAACTTAAAATTAAATTTAAAAGGAACATATTAAATACTATATGAGTACTAATATGTAATTATTAGTTAGTTTCCAGGAATGCAATTATTAATTGAAGTGTAAAGATGATGGGGTAAGGAGAAAAGATAAAAAAAGGAGAAAATGACAAATGAAAAAAACATTTATTCAAAAATACCAAAAAATGACATGTGTCCAAGTTAATGAGAGAGTGACATGTGGCCAAAATTATTTTCATTTAGTATGGAGGATACGATATATATATATAGCTATATATATATATATCTATATATATCTATATATATCTAGAGAGAGGAGAGCGAGAGCGAGAGAGTTTAGATTCAAGTATAAAACCTTATATATTGTATGAATGCATGATTTATTTTTGACTAATATCTTATAGGGGCATTACAGTAAATTTCATTGATCAATTCATTAAATATCGAATTTAAAAACCTATAAATTAGGGAAGTTAAGTGATTACCATTAACTTAAAATCCATTTATTAGGCAATTTAACTCATGACGTCTTCATATCATCATCACCATCAGCTACACACCTCTTCGACTTGATCAACACAAGAATCCCCACCATCATCATGTATCCATCAACAGGGATAGCAGGCGACTATCCATTTGAAATTATATATCAACGATACTATCACAAATATCTTTCTCCTCCACGATCATGACTTTTATCGTCCTCTCCTCATCAACAAGGGTAGTAGACGACTATCCATTTGAAATTGTATATCGACGATACTATAACAAATTTCTTTCTCCTCCACGATCATGACTTTTTTCATCCTCTCCTCATCCTCAACATCAAATCACCCCATATAATTGCCCTCTGACGAATACCTAAATATCACCATCAACCTTGCTGGTTAATTTACAACCTTAGTTATGATGCCCCAATGTAAGTTTTATTTTTATTTATTTATTTTAAATTCTTATTCAAACGGGAAAACGTTATCTTGGAATGAGTTTATCTTTTTTATTGTTTACTGCATATTGCTCAATTTAATTAAATGTTGCTACTAATTTGATTTCATTTTAAACATCAACATGCCCTATATATATTATGTTGTACCACTAAGCAATGTTTTGGTGTATTTTTTTTACCTCATTAAGCTTTCTCATCAATAAAAGAATATATTAATTAGCTAATTCACATGTTGACTTCTAGAATTATATATGATTTAAGGTTACAAAAATGATAAATATTGCTTTGCTATTTTCTGTTAAAAAGGATTTCCTATTTGATTGACTGATATTACTAGAAACAATAGAATGGAGTAGTTAGTCCTTCACGCTCATCACCATTTTAATGCAATATGCTCTTGTGTGTAATTTTGACCTTAAACTTGCATGACCATGCTAGTTTTGTGTACTTTTAGGTCACAAGAATCGTATAAAGCTTTCCATGTAATTATTATGTTTTTAGATGCTCTTTGCTTTATGCATTTTTTTTTGCTTTATATTATATGCTCTTTGCTTTGTGCATCCTTTTGTTTTGTATGCTTGATTTACTAAATTAAATAGGTTGTAATTTGGTTCTTTTGTTGTTTACTGAGACAAAAAAATTCAGCTAATAATGTAATAGCATATTAATATTTCTAATAATCAACAAATTCTTGAAGAATCAACTTTGATTATTAAAGAACGAATTTAGTTTCTTTATGAATTAACAATGACTGGTGGGTTTGCAATGATAAAGTCTTGATGTTTGTAATTTTATGTAGGTAGATTCGAAGAGAGGTTAGTGATGGTGGTACTAATTGATATCGGCCGGAGAAAATGGAAACAAAAAAGTTTAATGGATTTGTACTTAGTTTTCCTTCTTTTATTTTTATTTCATGTATTCTTTTAGAATCATCCAAAATATAGGTTGTTTTGTGAATGTGAACATGTTCAAATGCTGTAGATTTGTTTTCCATCTTCATTCATTCTTATTATTTCATATGCATTCTTATTCATTATAATTCTCAAGCATTCTATGAGAATTAACATTCTTAAAGAATGCACATGCATATGTTATGTGACAGTGATCATATACTCAAAGAATGCATTGTGATTTGTGCAATTCTTTTTTGTGTTTGTTTTTACAAGTTTTCTTTTAAAAAAATGAGTCAACTTTGCAATAAAAATGACTATTATTTTGATGTAAATTGTTATTCTTGAAAGATATGCATGTGCATTCTTTAAGAACTAGGTGTGAGACCCGTATGTTATACGGGTTTGATAAAACAAAAAATTAAATATAAAAGTTTAACAAAAAATTATTTAAATTTGAAATTTTAGAATTGAAACTTAAAATTTAAATTTAAAAGCAAACATATTAAGGGCGTGTTTGGCATGGAGCTTTTGGAAGCGTTTGAGAGCTTCTAACTTTTAGCTTTTGATAAAACGCTATACTTTAAACAAAAAGCTTCGTTTGGCAGTACGAGCGTTTAGCTTTTAGTTTTAACAAAACGCTCCGATTCTAAAAGCTACTTCATGTAGCGTTTAACAAAACGCTCCTGAGCTTTTGAAATCAATTTCCATAATTACCCTTAAAAATATATTTATTTATTTATTTATTTTTAATCAACTGTCCTTTTATGTAATTTTATATATTTCAAAAGCTTCAAGCTACTTTTGCCAAACATTCATATAACAAATAAAAGCTACAGCTTCCCGCTACCAGCTACCTGCTACACGCTACCAGCTACCCGCTACCAGCTAACCGCTACCCGCTTCCAGCTAACAGCTACTTTTGCCAAACACGCCCTAAATACTATATGAGTACTAATATTGTAATCTATTAGTTATTTTCAATTAAGGCAATTATTAATTGAGGTGTAAATATGATGTGTTAATTAAAAAAAGATAAATAAAAATGAGAAAATGACAAATGGAAAAAACATTTATTTAAAAATACCAAAAAATGACATGTGTCCAAGTTAATGAGAGAGTGACATGTGACAAAATTATTTTCATTTATTATGGAGGATTACTATTTTTTTATTTTTATTTTATTTATTATTATTTTTTTGAGATGTTAACGTCAATTTCCTAAAAATCAACATAATGACATATGGACTTAGAAGATTGCAAAATAACCATGGAGTTTTTTGCGGAATAGTCCCAATATTTTTGGAAAATTTTTAATAAACTCCTAAAAGTTTTTTTTTAACAGAAAAGTCTTATTATTTTGGGAAAATCACATAATTTGTCATTTGCTGTTAAAAAATATATATAAAAAAAAGACTTTTTCGTTAGTTTGGACAAAATATTAAATAATCAGAACTTTTCTATTAAAAAAAAACTTTTAGGACTTTATCAAAAAAATTTCCAAAATAATGAGACTTTTATGCATAAAACCCATAACCACAGTATTAGAAATCTAACAAAAGAAATTACAGTGGATCCTACAATTTATTCCTACAAACACATCAAACAAAGTTAAGGAATCACACAAATTCATATTTCCATTTTTTTCAATTTTAGCAGAGGTACCCCTAAGATAACTAACATGAAGGTCCAACTTAGATACATCCACAATATTATGGAGAGAGGATTCAGAACCTGTCATATGTTAATTGGCTTCTGAATCTACAATCCATTTTTGGCAATTAAGAGTAGAATTAAAAGCTTTGAATAAGCAAGTAGCTGCCGCGTTTGCACTAGCAGATGCTTCCGCATTCATTTGTTTTTCACTGATAAGTTGCAAGAATTTCATATACCGATCCTTAGTCAAATGATGTAACTCAGAGTCCCCGGTAGACTCAGATAAGCTGGAAGAATTTGAATTTCCAGAAGGAGTAGTGGCATAATTAACAAAAAAATTCCGACTACACATGTTTTGATTATTAGACCCACTTCTTGGTTTAAAATCCTTAGGATAAGCAATTATTTTGTAACATTTTTCTATAGAGTGACCCTTAATGCCACAATTCTTACATTGAACAGCTTGACCTTTGCTCTTATTAGAGTTATTTAAATTAAACCTATTATTAAACCCACTATTAAAAGCAGTAGGTTGAGACCTAGATGAGGACTGAGATGATTGAGTGGTAGACAAGGAACTATTTCTTTGAAGGGAATCCTCTCTAGACACAATGGAGAAGGCAGTATTGACATTAGGTAAGGGTTCCATGAGTAAAATATGACTTTTAACTTGACAATATGAGTCATCAAGACCACTAAGAAACTGTATAAGTTTCATGAGATTATAATGGTCCTTGAGCTTGACAGAAGCTTCACAAGTACACTCAGTCAAACTAGTAAGACCATCAAACTCCTTCCACAAGGCACCAAGTTTATTAAAGTAGTCTGATAAAGAACTCCCATTTTGTTTAAGTGAATTAATATGTTGGTGAATGTTGAATACAACAGACCCATAAGACTTATTATAGGTTTCAAAAAGACTTTTCCATATATCTTCAACTACTTCTGAATAAGCTTGACTCCTGTAGATGGAGTCTGAAATAGACGAAAGAA